GGGGAAACTTCAAATCGAAATTAAAAACAACATCCAACCACCACACGCATCCTCCAAAACACGGGAAGAGGACGGATACAGAGAGAAGAAACTCAGAGCAATTGGGACCCACAGCGAAGGAACCATGTTGACAACATCAATACGAAGGCACATAACATTGTTAAGTGCACTGCTCATATCGAAATAATAAAAACGCTTAATCTAAAACTACAGGTTCTCATAGTATACCGAGATCACAATCATTACCACATTGAGGGTAGGCGATCGCTTAGAATGTTTAATCATGGGTAGGGTAGTGACAAACATCCTAAAGCTTTTCGCTAGCTTTGCCACGAGCATAGCTCATCAGAGGAGGTAAAGAAAAGCGCATGATCGTAACTTCATTTAGGACTACTAGAGAACCATAACTGACAACACCATGTACAAAGGGTTAATTAACGGGTTTATCATGAGTGGTTAATAACATCACCTCAGGATGAGGTTCCGCAGGATCAATCTCTGCGATGTGCTCGTCCAACATCTCCTCGAAGTCAAACGGGGACTCGATGGTCTTTCCGTCCATCCTTTTGTCAACCCAACGATACTGCTACCCTCGGTGAGCACAGGAGCATCACTCCCAAGGGACGTAGGGAGCACGACACTTCCTGCGTTGTCGACAACACGATTGATAGCCTAGGTAACGACGGAGTAGGTCGAACAGATATCTCAGCGGTAAAGGACACTGTGGTTAAGATTGGGGCAATATGCATTACCGTAGTATACCAGGTAACAGTAGACAGACCGGTGGGGGAGACTAACGAGTTATCGCACGAGGGGAGCGTAGTCTAATCGTGCGTCAAATCATTAGTGCTACCGGACGAAGATGACTCTGCCTATGCCTAAGTGTTTCTTAAGTACTACAATAGACCATATTCTAGAAACTCCCCGAGCTACAGGGAGAGCTATTTTTTGGGGCAGCCTCTATTGGGACCTTCCTCATATTGAACACCGTATCTTACAGTCCCATCAAGTAACATATCTAAATAACATACTTACATACTCGCGGTCATAACCGTTTCGACCCCACGAACACCCATGCATAGGCCCCAAATAAGGGTACTGACCAAGGATGGGTACCCCAGTAAGGCCTTCTCATTGGTACTCGGTCATTATGAATGTCATACTAAGAGCTCCCCCCATCGAGCCCACGGACAGACCCATTTTCAGTTTTTGCACGTAGTTCTGACATTCCTCTACACCACCTTTCATACGCAAGGTATCTAAATCGGAGGCATATGGACCCATAGTTCACACATACTGAAAAGCAGGAAACATATTTGTTCAGAATAATAATCATCAAGAACTATCAATAGCTCGAGTATTCAAACTGCACCCCTTCCTTATTCTGATTAATTCTTTACCTCATGATCATAACCTTACTAATCCAAGCTGAACTTTTTACCCAGGCTCAAAGCCCTTGTATGCATGTGTGTTTGTGTGTGTGTGTGTGTGTGTATGTGTGTATGTGTGTGTGTGTGTGACCCGCCCCTAACCCACTGAGGGAAGCCTGCTCTTGGAAGGCCAGGGGAGAACCCTGACCAACCAGGTCAGGATTCCCCCAACAACCCCCTCATAGGTTCCATCAGTGGATTGGACGCTACGAGGGGACACAAACACAGGGATAACACATCACACCAACAAATACATTTATTCAGTACTCAGAAGAAGTATTGTTATTCATAAGGATATCAAATCACATACCTTGAGCAGCCGCTTTGTCTCCAGGTGACGAAAAGTCTGGAATGCATTTGGCTGGTCAAGAACCATGAGAGCTTTCCAAATGCATTTATTTTTCAAAAACCCGTTCTTCACGAATTCATCAACCAGATTCTTAATATCCTTAGCTGCGTGAAACTCGGAATTCGTCAGCAACATGATTAGAGCAGTCTGTGAGATGATCACATTAATCGATTGTTTGATGGGTCTATTAGACTCATACTTAATAAACTTGACAGGCTTGAATTCCAAGGACCGGGTTTTGTCATGTTTAGTTGTCAGGAAACGCCCACTAGTCTCCGAGATAACTTGAATGCTCAAGTGAAGGAAGTGTGCATCTCTGCCATAGATCATCCGCTCTGGACCCATCGTATAGTCCAGAGTCTGATTCTCAATCTCGATGATGTTCAGTGGATATATCCAGAAAGGGTTGGTACTAACCCTGATCTGTGATGGGTCGAGAAACCTCAGAATCGCCGGATTATTGATAACATGCAGGTCATCGATATACCTAAAGGTCATTTTGAACAAAGCCGCAAAATCCAATGCCCCCATCCCAACCAACCTTATGATGAAGCAATATTCATACTTAAAAAAATAAATAGTGCACCATATCGGGGAACAGGGAAGTCCCTTGGGAATCCCCTTAACCTGCTTCCATACCGAATTCCCAAAACTTGTGTAGCATCTAACCAGTATCCATTCACACAACATGATCATGCATTCCGCACACATAGAAAATGAATTCAGCGTAGGAGGGGTTTCAGACTTGTCCAGGTTGCATCAAATTTTACCATTCTTCTGATATACACATCTAACACAAATGAAGCCAACTATAAGTTTCATGCGTTTGAAGACCATATTCACAAAAAATCTGATCGCACTAATTAGCCCATCTTCCGAGTTATCAATGGGAATATTCTCGAAACATTTCGAAATATCCGCAGAGAACACTGAGTGAACTTCAAGTTCAGATGGTAGATTCTAACAGTAATCTTGGATGCAGTCAATAACCCACCAAAACGCAGTATCAACACTATGGAAAACCTTTGTGGTCCTCGCCATGTTCCCACAGTGTCATATGACCGAATCCTTAGAGGTGGACAACACCGTATCTATTAGGAACGCAGGATATGTAAGAACTGAATTAGAGGCATTGGTTAGCCGTCTAAAGGTCAACTTATGTTGCTTAAAGATAGCCATAGGATATGGCAAGCTCTCAGACCCACTCCTTACCATTGGGAAACCATTTTTTAGGGACTCCGTAGCTTCGCGTACCACCTTTGCTGCCGGGATATTTGAGAACACGAAATCAGGGCCCATTAGTCTCTCCAAGGCCAAAGCGCGGATAAGGTGCTTGCACACAAAGAACGGAGTATTTGCAGCTTTATCCGTACCTGCGACATAAAGATGCTCTAATAAAAATCTCACTTCAGTCTTTACCTGAAAAGGGACAGTTTTAACAGAGCACCTCTTCAACCTCTGGCCCACTTCTCTGTTAAGCCGATCTTTCACCAAGCCTGTCAGATGCTCGATCAGAGGTTTAGGGATAAACTCTGATTGTAGGATGATAGACAAGGTATCACCCCATGCCTTCATGAGCACTCCGACAGTTTGTTCCTTCGTAGGAACTCTCAATGGGATATGATTGAGTCTCATTTTTAGTACCTCAGTAAGTTTTGTACTAGCGGCAATCATCGGATCCAATGTTAGCACATGCCTCGAAGCCGTCGGGCATGGCTGAGACATCCGGAGGGTCTCGTTATCGAGGAACCCTCGAAAGTGCTCAACACTGTTGCAGGGACAAAGGGTTTCATCTGTCATCCGATCGTACCATTCCTCAAGATTAAAAAATTTGAACACATAGGTCGGTTTATACACATATCTACTGATGGGATCATCATACGTCCAACCATACACTATAGAAAGGAACAAGGTCACTATGTGGACATTGACAAACCGCGAGACAACAGATTCAAAGATCTTTTTGGGGTTGAATCCTTCCATTAGTTTGCCAACATAATGGATATGCACAAATTTGTGAGCAGGGGCATCCTTAATCTCTAGCTTCACCCGCCGTTTTCTCCCAGAGGGCCCATTTATCAGGGATCCCTTGCATACCTGCATCAAATTCGACCATGACAACATCTTGAGCATCGTGCTCCTCAGTTATCGAAAATCGCTCTGTTGACATTTCGTTGATGGCCGACATTTCCTCCATTGAGTGCCGCCGACAAACCGACCCTCTTCCCACCGACGGAGGTGATCGTGGATTCGGAAGGGGTAGATGCATCAGGTTTATCAGGCTGATCCGGGGGGGTTGAACACATGAAGCAATGCATAGTCCCCTGACCATCAGTCCTACCGCGCTTACCTCCTGACGAGGATGCTCCCTCATCCAGCCTCGGTCTTTTCTTAATGTACTTACTCATAAGGAGCAGCTTCACACACTCCTTGAATGTCTTCCGATCGGCGCCATTCATGCCAACCAACACAGAGTCGATCGTCAGGGAGGGATTTGCCACACTCTTTTTGTCAAGAAGCATCATCACTTCTCTTACACATCCAAACGACAGAGAGAGTAACATCAATGGTTTCCAACACGTGGAAAGACACTTGATCAGGGAGGACACTTTCACCCTCGGGGTTGGCGCATCTGGATAGAGGATATCCAGATTGTGCAAAAGGAACCAGATCAGGTGATCAAACCATGGGGGGCGTGTACCACAATCGGCCTTTCCCTCATAACAACATCTGCACTTCAAGTACGGCCTACCTACATTCCACACTCTTTTTAGCTCTGCCAAAGCAGGCGGATTCTGAGGGGGCTTATTCCCCTTGATCGAGACATTGGGGCGCGGGAGGGAACACTTACTGACATCCATCGAGGACATAGGGGGGAGGAATATCCCATCCCCATTGAATGGGAATTTGACCTCTGGCGGTGCAGTATTCATGTCCAACGCTCTCTCGAACGCAGCCTTCATCTCATCTTGAGTGAGGGACGCTAACAATCTGTATCCCCTTTGGTCAATCGGAGCAAGATAATTAAAGGTCTCAAGTGACCAGATCCTGCCGGAAAACGCTGTAGACATTGTCTCTACCCATCTAGGTGAGGCAAGGGGGAGGAACGCATTCCTCCGAGCATCCGTGAAGACTTTCTTCTTGTTCGTCATAAGGCAAGCCTTAGTCCTTGCCACCTCAGCATCGTTTTTTCTCCTGTACTCCTCCTCTTCGGTCATCTCATCCTCATCATCCTCCAACGCCACCTCATCAGCAATCACAACCCCGCGCACCACCCTTTCCTTGTGAAATTGCAAATCAGCACCCCAGATCCCGACGAACTTCACCTCAGCATCAACGGTGCTCGCGTTTAGTGTCATATCCTCAACCTTCACTGCCTCATCTACCGCTATCGTTGACCTCGCCATTCTATTCAACGCATCGACAAACTCATTCCTCCTATGTCGATAAAGGTAGATCAACTCGACCCAGTCATAAAAAGACAGGAACTCGACTAGAGGAAGGGTATGAATCTCGGGGGTAACAGACCTCTCCTTAACCTCAACAATCACTTGCTTTTGTGCACATGCAGTCAAGGCTTGGGTAGATCGGGAGGGAGGGCGGAAATGTGCAAGCCACTCTTTGTCACCAGTAACAAGGTCTGGAATCCACAGCACATGAGGGGTAACAAAATCTTGAACACAACAAACCATCGAACACACAGTCCCCATATCATGAGCATATATGGAAGACAAGGCAAAATCCAATAAGCAATGTTAATGACAACACAGGAACTCGAAAATCAAATGGAGTATATCACATCCCACTCGTGTGTCATGAGCGAGAGGCCATCATGATGGGTATCAGCCATGGGAGGAAACCTCCACCAAGGGTACCTCCCTTGAATGGAATTGTGAGTGTGTAGATGTGTGTGAAAATATATTATAAACGCCTCAACACGTAATATTTACATGCTCCACACCGCCATCACAGCACAGAATGCACCCCACCAGAGATCCCGAATTATCCCACATGATCACACTTGATTCAACTAGTTCATCCATAAAGTGCATGCACAGAATATGACGTTATCAAATTCAGAGCATTCCCCTCATACCGCCTCAGCCACAGGGCTCATTCCAAATTCTCAGCGACCCACAAATGCACACAAGTAGATGAATCATATAATCATGCTTTCAATAATAAAGAATGTGGTGACGACAACATCTAAAGGAGGTAAAAAACCAATAAGAATGACCTCCAGACTGCCAGAGATATAGGAGATCGGAAGCATCGCACGCACATCAAGGGTAACAAAACCACAAAATAACAAGAGAGGGAAGAAAAACACCGAAGAAAGGGCGGTCAGAGACGTATCAATCAGAGAAGAAAATGAGGGAGAGGAAGAGTCCATTTGAAGAGCACACTATGAACAAATGAAAGCGTCAGATGGACCATTTGTAAAAACAATTACACACACGTCTCACACCGACGACTGCCACCAACAATTCTTGTTCCAAGATTCGAGGACACCGCCCATTAATCCCCGAATAGGGGCCAAGTATGCGTATGTCGCCACCCTGGAAACCAATCCTCGAGTGGACAGCTGTACAACCCCTATCCTACACAATTGTATCCAATACATCCGGCAACACAGCTCTCAAAATCGAGAACGCCCGCGATCAGCAGGAAACGATCAATGACCCGAGCAACGCTGTACAAGGGACATTATCTACAAACTCACCCTCTCATACCAGTTGTACCACGATTCCCTCAGCATAGATCTTATGAATCTTCAGCCTTCCCGAGCTAATTGCACAAAACTTTCTCGACAGTATAAAAAAAAATGATCCACCAAATTTGTTCAACGCCACGACTCAGACCGCGCACGAGAGGAGATGATGTATCCTACCACCACCTATTGCTCCTATTGATACGACCACCAACATTCTCCCTCACACACATGCAGCATGGTAGAAACGCAAGACTCCACGTACTAGCTCAATATCTCATCACCATACCCCCGAACATCAAGAAGCATCTACTAGAATCATTCCACCCAACGCACGGCACACCACCCAAGTTATCCGCTCACGCCAACCGCTGCTATATCCATTGCTATATCCTCACGTAGACACCCAAGCCGCAAAGCAAACTATCCAATCATTCACCGCTAGCGCGTCATTCGATTAGTGACAGTTCTTCGTAATCTGGAGGTCTCCTATCTCCGCAAAAGCTTGCTATCCTCTTGGCAGCGACAAAGAACGATCCCTCAGCCTGTCAGCAACAAACATGATCGTCGAGACACAGCAGGTCGAACAATGTATAAACAACACCCACCATCTCTCCAACCACGATCCAGAAGGAGAAATCGAGAGAGCAAGACCTATCGATAAGCAGCGAGGCGAATATTGATAACGAAGATTACAGGGTAGAGGGACACCGAAGAGGAAAGAAGAAGGAGAAAGAAGGAGGAAAAGAATCAGAAAAGGGAAGCAGAGTCAAGAAAGACGAGGAGGATAAGGAGCCAACCGTCGGGGAAACTTCAAATCGAAATTAAAAACAACATCCAGCCACCACACGCATCCTCTAAAACACGCGAAGGGTATGGATACAGAGAAAAGAAACTCAGAGCAGTTGGGACCCACAGCGAAGGAACCATGTTGACAACATCAACACGAAGGCACATAATATTGGTAAGTGCACTGCTCATACCGAAATAATAAAAACGCTTAATCTAAAACTACAGGTTCTCATAGTATACCGCGATCACCATCATTACCACACTCATAATGTTTAATCATGGCTAGGGTGGTGGTAAACATCCTAAAACTTTTTGCTAGCTTTGCCACGAGCATAGCTCATCAGAGGAGGTAAAGAAGAGCACATGATCATAACGTCATTCAGGAGTACTAGATAATCATAACTGACAACACTATATACAAAGGGTTAATTAACGGGTTTATCATGAGTGGTTGATAACATCACCTCAGGATGAGGTTCCGCAGGATCAATCTCTGCGATGTGCTCGTCCAACATCTCATCGAAGTCAAACGGGGACTCCATGGTCTTTTCGTCCGTCCTTTTGTGAGCCCAACGATACTGCTACCCTCGACGAGCACAGGAGCGTCACTCCCAAGGGACGTAGGGAGCACGACACTTCCAGCGTTGTCGACAACACGATTGATAGCCTAGGTAACGACGGAGTAGGTCGAACATATATCTCAGCGGTAAAGGACGTTGTGATGAAGATTGGGACAGTATGCATTACCGCAGTATACTAGGTAACAATAGACAAACCGGTAGGGAAGACTAACGAGTTATCGCACGAGGGGAGCGTAGTCCAATCGTGCGCTAACTTATTAGTGCTACCAGACGAAGAGGACTCTGCCTATGCCTAAGTGTTTCTTAAGTACTACAATAGACCGTGTTCTAGAAACTCCCCGAGCTACAGGGAGAGCTATTTTTTGGGGCAACCTCTATTGGGACCTTCCTCATATTTAACACTGTATCTCGACAGTCCCATCAAGTAACATATCTAAATAACATACTTAAATACTCGAGGTCAGAACCGTTTCGACCCCACGAACACCCACGCATAGGCCCCAAATAAGGGTATTGACCAAGGTTGTGTATCCCAGTAAGGCCTTCTCATTGGTACTCGGTCATTATGAATGTCATACTCAGAGTTCCCCCCATCGAGCCCAAGGACAGACCCATTTTAAGTTTTTGCACGTAGTTCTGGCATTCCTGTACACCACCTTTCATACACAAGGTATCCATCTATAGACAATGTATCTAAATCGAAGGCATATGGACCCATCGTTCACACATACTGAAAAGTAGTAAACATATTTGTTCAGAATAATAATCATCAAGAATTATCAATTGCTCGAGTATTCAAACTGCACCCCTTCCTTATTCTGATTAATTGTTTACCTCATGATCATAACCTTACTAATCCAAACTGAACCTTTTACCCAGGCTCAAAGCCCTTGTATGTATGTGTGTGTGTGTGTGTGTGTGAGTGTGTGTGTGTGTGTGTGTGTGTGTGTGTG